GCAAACGGTGATCGAAAATGCATGCTTTTTGACCTCTTCAAAGAATTACCTGATTAGAAAAAATCGGACTATACTCGTATATATAAAGTTGTTAATCTCTTAATCTGTTGGTTTCATTTAGGATAAATCCTAAGCTTATACATTTAACATATCCATTTCAAATATTTATAAAATCGCCGGCTTTTTATAATAATGGCTAAGTATTTACGTGTATTAAATAACATGAAATGTGTTTCGCTGTGTTACAAATTCTTTCACGGATAAACAGAGAATGAATAACATTATAGAATAACAAGTTTTCAGTTTCATATCATCATGTGCATACGCATATATGTGTATACATATACTTAAATATATTCCAGTGTATATAATCTTCTGTGATAGCGACGCACACGCATAGAGTCCATTTTGAGATGCGAAGCCGTGTTAGTTTGGCATAAATTTTTATCAAATGTTATTATAATACACATCAAAGAAATTTTAAATTAAAGAAGACATAAAATGGATAAATTTATGCTTAGAAACTACAAAGAGTAACGGGCTCGAAATTCATGAATAGACTTGTTGTAGTTTTTGTCTGCATATATAAAAACATTACAAAAGTAGAAAACAGCAAACGGAAAAATACATACACACATACATACATACATACATACATACATATATATATACATATATATATACATATATATATACATACATATATATATGTATATGTATGTATGTATGTATGTATAAGCAGTTATATTAATTAATATTGTTAAAACATAATATATATATATATATATATATATATATATATATATAAAAGGCTTAAACACTAATATTCCATGATCATAATGGAATACCATTGGAATCAAAATACGATCTAATTCATCCGACCTACAAATTCAAAACTTGTAGGTCTGATGAATTGGATCGTATTTACGATTACAATGGTATAAATTATAACCATGGAATATTAGTGTTTAAGCCTTTTTATTATATCCTTACTCTGTCCTGGACATTGAGTTCTACCTGGATTCTATCTTCTTGGAATTTTTTATTCAGAAAATATACATGTATGTGTATACACCTATGTATATATATTTTTTATATATTTTGCATAATTATGTGTATATTTACCAGTAATATTATCTAACTATATATATATATATATATATATATATATATATATATATATATATATATATATATATATATATGAAGAAATATAGTTTTAAGATACGCTATATTTATGGTATAAATCAGAGATAGAGATATGATTTTTGTTTTGTATTGTTTTTTGTTTTTTTGAGCATTTCACCCCTAGCAAGGCGGGAAGCCACTAGTACGCAAGGGGTTATAGAGGATTTGGAGCGAGAGCAGGTAGGAATGATAGAGGAGAGGATGAAGAGAAGGATAGTGGATAGATCAAGGCAACTGGAGATGTCGATTGACATAACATTTGAATAGTTGGAGATTAAAGCTACCAGGGAAATAGGAGTAGGGAAGGGAGTTCCACAGGCGAGAGGTGCTAGACATGAAGCTATTGGAGTAGAAGAGACGGCTACATTTAAGTTTTAACTGTGAAAGCGTGAGAGCGGAATGACATCTTCGTAGGGCGCTTGAATTCGCGAACTCTTGGAACCAGCGAAAACAGCTCATCGGAGCAATTACCATGAAAGTATTTGTAAAAAGGACAGAGAGAGGCGACGGCACGTCTGTGAGAAAGTGAGAATCCAGATCAGGGACAATTATATTGCGTATCCGTCTCTGGATCTTATCAAGAAGCCCAAGGCAAAAAAAGGGGCTCCAGACCATATATGGCAGCAATACTCCATGCAAGGGCGAATGGTTGATTTGTAAATTTGAAGGATCGATTCCGGGGAGAAAAATTTCCTGACGCGGCACAGGGAGCCAACTTTCCTTGCGGTGGACGAAGTAATTGACTCAATGTATTTGGTCCATCTGAGGTCAGTAGACAACGTGAGACCAAGCAGCCGCAGAGAGGCGCTTTCGGGAAGTTGAGCGTCAGACATTCTAAATGGGGGGGAAGGTTCTCTGTCGTGATTAATAGAGAACAGTTTTGTTTTGGTGGCATGTAAATATAAATGTGAATATTGAAATCAACACTCAGAGGCGACAGACTGCTTTTATACTACCTGATGACTGCCTGTTGCAAACGACAATTTATTCATCGCACCCTCGGTGTGTGTGTATATATATATATATATATATATATATATATATATATATATATATATATATATTTGAACAATGAAAAAAATATAAAAAATTAAAATCGTTAGACACACTGGGTTGTAGATTAATATTCTTTCGTTTTTTTTTATTATTATTTCATTTAGATTCCTCGACTAGTTTCGATCAACATGGCCATCATCGGGAGGAGAAATATTTCTGCTTGCTGGTAGCAGTAAACTACAGAAATGAATCTTTTGCTGGAGAAAATGAACTTTTGTCTGTAGTTTTCATTTGTTTTTTTTATGTTTTTATCTTTTTAACATGAATCTTTTAACATTCCTTGTGTTGGTCAAACAGTCTCTTTTAAGTTGTTATTTGAGATAAGAGCTGGATATACAGGCTGCTCTGAATAATATATATATATATATATATATATATATATATATATATATATATATATATATATACAGTTTCCTTATAATAAGGCAGTGTTTATGCATGGAGAGGGAATATGCATACACACTAGCAAAAACTCACACGCACACATAATACACAAAATTAGAAATAGATGTAAGATAAAGTGGTCATAAAAAGATAAGAACAAAGACCTCCTTCCTCGTATTCTCTCTGACTAATCCTAATTGTTTTATTACCTCTTAAGCAGACAAAACACTTTTCCCACCAGTCGAAGAAAAACATTTCTATTTCTACTACAAAAAAAGACAATGGTAAAACATCGAAAATCAGAAGGAAAATTAATTCCTTTTAATAATATGTGGAAATATACACTCTTTGTTTGATGAATTATGTTGACCAATGACATCAGAGGTGGATTCGAAATTATGCTACGGTATTATTGGTAAACTAAACTTCTCTTTCAAAAGTGAAAATTCTTTGCTTATAATGTCTGCAAAAATCTTTCTGGCATGAAAATGCGAATGAACCGTAGCCATGTAATTGAGTTTCTAGTGTCTGAACGCTTCCGGAAATCAAATAGTTGATGTGATCTGGAGAGACAATAAGTAATAAATGTTAGTAAAATGTGAAAGCCACAAGTACGTTAAGCCTTATTTCAAGCGTATCTTCACAGTCTTCATCGCTGTAACCAAAATGCATAAGCCATTTTCGTGACTGCCGAAGAATAATGTACTACAGCTGAAGCCTTGCTCCATCCAACAGTGCTAATATGCTCCCTATGTATGATGTAGTTCGTGTGATTTGCTGGCTAATTATGAGTTGCATGATAACTAGATATCTACGATAAATGGTATAGCATGTATACTTATGATACGTTGATTTATGTTCCCTTAAATATATAATGCATCCTTGTCAAAGAGTCTTCGTGTATTTAGCAGTCTGCATTACTTTGTCTCTGATTTTTTGCACAGATAAATTTATATATATATATATATATATATATATATATATATATATATATATATATATATATTTGTGTGCGTGTGAAAATAAATAAATAAATAATGAAAAAGTTCCATGTAATAGCTACAGGCTGTTGTAATCAACATTCTAGATATGTTATCATTTGGGAAAACATTTTTCTTTTAGATTTTGACCCAAAGGGTAAATAGTTCGCAGCGGTTTGTGAATGCTGCATAACTAGAAAATCTATTCCTCTTTTTACTGCGCCATGTTTTCTTTATTTTTTACATTTCCATTTTAATCATCGTACACATATTTTTTGTTATTTATTTATGTTCTATATATATATATATATTTTTTTTTGTTTGTTTGTTTTATATTTTCCCATTTTAGTTTATTCTATATGCCACATCTACATGATTAGCACTGGGAGTTCCAAAAGCATTATAAACATTTATTTCTTCTTTCACGAGCTAGTTTTCTTTCGTCCATTTTCATCTTTTCTTCTTACATTCATTCGTGTAGTCTGCATTTCAAATTGGATTGTTTCCATTGGTACTCCACATCTTTATCATTCTTCCTTCGTCTTGCAACATATTTTATCTTTTTTTTTTAAATACCCGGATTTCATCCACATTATTCGTTTCGATTCGTTTTTTTTTTTCATGTTTTAAAGATTCATCATTTTTCTTGATCACGAACAATAGTTTTAAAGTCACTATTATCGTATCGTTATCAATAATTAAAATCACTGCTATCAATCGTTAAAATCATCTAACACCAAATTTCATAGATTCAACACTGTAATTTCATATCACATTATACTGAGTCAAACACTAATTTGGAAAGTAAATGTTATCAAGGAAATCTAATCTTATGCCAATTCACTGAAACAATTAAAAACCATTTATAAATGTCGGAATCATTTCTTCATGTCTAATATGCAACATAGCCTAATAACCAGAGAGACCATGGACCTAAGCCAAGTTATGCCTCAGCTGCTGATAGCAACGCTGCATCTCGCTGGAATATCCTCGGCAGACAGCAGGCCTGGACAGGGTTTATGAGAGATGGGCGGTTGCCCATGCAGCACGTTGCCCCTCTAGACGCCTCCGATGTTGTCCAAGGGAATGGTAGAGGCCAATACAGCTTGATACCAACATAAAGCATAACATAAATCTCCAATTAAAATATTTCGATAAATTCTTCCTTTTCTGCACTCTATCCTTTCAAGACGTTGGTGATTATAGCTCTCCTCAACTTCTCATCTTTTGCAACAAGTACATTTTTAGATTTACCACTGTTCTTTGTCTACGGTCTGCAGTCCATTCACGAAAATCCTTAAAGTACAAGTCACTGCCTCTCTTAACTTTGGTATTTCCTAGGAAAAGGAAATTTTATAGTCTCTCTTTCGTCGCGGTTTACGGTCACGTTATATTGTAACACTGTTTTCCGTACAATCACCGAAGTTAAGCAACGTTGAGCCTGGTCAGTACCTAGATCGGTGTCCGCTTGAGATTACCATGAGCTGTAAGTTTGGATGTGCGGATAATGTAATGGATTCGTGTACCAGTTCCCGCAAGGATCGTTATATTCACTTACGTGTAAATACCCTTAGGAAACGTATGAATCCACCTCTTCTTTCCCTCCCTATGGGTTAAGTAGTAAAACTTGTAACCCTATACCATTTTTAAATTAAAAAAAAAGTGATCTTACAATCTAAAACTATATAGTTTGGCTTTAAATAACCTGCACAAAGTTGATAAGCCGTAAAAAACAAATCTCTGTCTATAAAAGCAGGATGTGTGTGTGTGTGTGTGTGTGTGTGTGTGTGTGTGTGTGTGTGTGTGTGTGTGTGTGTGTGTAACGAATGCACGGCCGTAATTTTCGACGGATTTGCACCAAAATTTACACTCAGATGCTCCAAATTAGTGGGAAGGCCAAAACCGACTCTGCATTTCCCAACTCCCATCGATAGTTGAAATAATCAATTTTGTCATACTTCTACGGCAGTTTTCATGTAGTTTGCGGACAATTTCTACTGGCCAGAGTGAGAACCTATAACTGGCTGCCACGAATAGGCAGGAAGATTCTATTGGCCAGCGTGAGAGCCAACAGCTGACTGACACGAATGTTAACTAGCATGCTAGAAAGCAAAAAAAAATCAATAGCTGCATTCGTCACAAGTGGGAAAAATTTAAATCTGCATGGCACTTTACTAAATTAGCTCATTCGCTTGCTTAAACTCAACGTTGATTCTGATTCCGCAGAACTGGGTTGGGTGTGAAAAAGTATTTGTTGTTAACATTCTTTTTTCATTTGGTTTTTCCAGTTACGAGTTCTTTTTTAAAGCTGATCGTTTTGTGTTCATTTTGTTTAGTTCTTTTTTCGTAACAGATTTAATGTTTAGTATAGAGTTTAGAAAAAATTCGTAGTGTGAGATAGGCAAGAAGTAAGGCATGTAGCAACATCAGCACGGCAAAGGGCACTCCTTTAAAGGCAAGGAAGGGCAAAAATATTTCAAGTCACGTGATAGCCATTGCTGTATGAGTCGTACGATTTTTTTTAATCAAGCACGGGCAACGCCGGACCATGCAATCAATAACTTTCTTCATTAATTTTCACAGAAACATTAAATTTCTCTTTCTGATTGTAAGTATACGTTTCCATGTTGTTCTTTTCCATGAAACTTCCCTGTTGCTCATATATTCTATGAATAGAATTCTTAGCATTCATCGATAGAAACATGCCTTTGTTGCTTCAAGTGTGGAAGTTATCTAGTATTTATTGCAAAACAGAATATATTACATCCACTAGAGTGGAATATTTTTCCAAATTATCAGAAATCGATTAACTTTAACTAAAATGTTAAATAATTTTATTGTTTCATTTATACCATTGTTATCTTTTTTTTTTTAAATTTTAACAGATATTTGCAAGTGGCGAGATGTTGAACAAGCATTTTACCGTATATTTCGCTATGTAACGCGCCAAAAACTTAAAATACACATATAAATTGGCATCGGAAAGGGAAGCTCGAGGCGGTGTAATGGTTAGCAATCTTGTCTCGCTAGAACAATTACGACTGAGTAGTGAGTTCGATCCTCACTGGGCGCCACATCTAAGCTGCGCTTGGAAAATCAAATCTGTGAACCTCGGCGTGGTGTAATGGTTAGCAAGCTTGTCTCGCTAAAACATTTACGACTAAATAGTGAGTTCGATCCTCGATGGGTAGCCCATACGTTCGCCCTTGTGTCACATCTAATCTATGCTTAGAAAATCAATATAAATTGGTACTGGATATGACTCCTCCAAATACTGCAAGTTTCTGGTATGTCAGATTAAAATTGAGGTATATTTATGAAAGAATTATTCTGGCATGTACACGAGTTACCTAACTTCATACACCAAAGCAAACCATGATTTCCGTTATGCGTGTATCTCGATGTGGTGTAAGGTTAACAATTTTTGTCTCGATAGCACAATTGTGGCTGAGTAGTGAGTTCGATCCTCACTGGTTGCCCTATACATTCGGCGTAGTATTACATCTAAGTCACGGTAAGAAAATCACCACGATTGCCGTTGTGTTGCTTTTATCAAATACTTAGATTAATTTTCTATTTTCCTTTCAACATATTAAGTTTTCGCATTCGGTCAGGAAAGCTGAGCTATCAAATTGTTAATTTCTAAATTAAACACGCATAGATGAATTACATCAATGGAGAAATTATTTTGAAGTCAGTAATTTTAGCTTTTTTTTTTTAATTTTGCCAGTTTACAATCGGATCTTTGTTGTTATTTCATTTAAATTAGTTTGGTAGAATTTCAAAGGCTTTCTAGTTTAAAAGATAACTTGTGATTGTACCTCCTCTACTTAAAGTTACATTCAGTCCATCCGATGTATCTTTTATTCTGTCCATTTGTGTCTATTCTGCTTTGTAAATTATTACTTCAGTTTTGCAAACTCTATCTAATGGACATTTGCTTTTATTTCTACAGTTGTATATTTCAGGGTTAATGATGTGTTTTTTTTTAAACGTTAGTTTTCACGTTTCTGGCGTTTTGCCTTTTTATTGTGGTTTCTAAATTACTAAGACAGCAATAGCTTAATTTAACTGTGTTTTTATTAAATATATTATGTAACTCAGTATTTGGATGGAAGTGTTTATTAAATAATTTGAAAAACGTTTCCCCTATTTTACATTTGACCTCTAAATTAAAAAGAGGGAGTTAAACCAAATATATATTTTTTCTATTCCTAGAATTGTTCTTTTTTTTTGTTGTTTTATTTGAGGCCTAAATTTCAGTTTGGTTTCATGCCTCTCTTTTTTTTAAAGTTTTTTCATATTCTTTCTTTTTATATTCGAAAATTATTTTACTGAAGGAATTTCTAGATAACCTGGACTCTATTCATTTAGGGATGTGCTTTATTATACTCTTAGTTTGGTTGGATTTAACATATACGTATTTTAATTTTGTGTTGTGTTTCATATATAGGGAGACACTGCCAGTTTGTAGATCGAATTCTACATCCAAATATTTTACAATTTTCTTATTCATATCGATTCTATTTCAAAATAGAAACTTTTGAAGTGTTTAAAAAGCGCTTTTCTTATATTGTCATTTGTTGTTCTTTTGTCTGTCACTATCATCAGACCGTCATTCCTATACAGGCCGTGGTTGTTTATATGTACAAGTTTGTTGATTTCATATAAAATATAGGTGCCTATTAATTCTGAAACCTCTGCATCATCAAATGAACCTTAAGGTACATTGAATTCATTTTTTTTTAATTCAATCTTCTCCATTGTGGAATAAAATTTATTTACGACAATGTGAAATTGTGTTAATTTGTTCAGGTGTTACATTTACGAAACCTTTGGCGAAGTACAAAGCCTTAAGCAGTCCTTTTTTTAGGTATGGTTGGATAAAAGTTTATATGCCCTATTTTATAACTATATATTTATCTTTAATTTTGTGGAACCAAGTAATGCAATCACTTATGTCCTTCCATTGTAATAGCGATACTTAATGACTCGCACAGTTTTTCAGTATTTCTCAGCTTATTTTACCCAATTTAGTTTTTGGTTGGGTTTATCGGACTAAAAGTAGGATTATTGGGGAATTCATCTTTATGGTCCTTTATAGTTAGAAATGCTCGCTTACGGTATAATATATCGACCCTTTCATTTATACTTAGTTTGGCTGTAATACTTTTCGCCTTCTCATTAATACTTTCAATGTATGAGTTTGGTGCCTTTTTTTCTAAGTTTTGGTGACCTTTTCATTTATTTTTTCCGGGAAGTTCATAGTATAAATATTCTTTGTTTCGTCTCCTGATTTTTTTTTTTTTTTGTTTTTTATTTCTTTTAATTCAGAAGTTAATGTTTATTGAAATTACTATTAACTTTTGGGAATTTAATATTGTCTATCATACCAAGCATATCCTTTTCGAAGTTAGCGAGCTCTTCAATAGCATGTGGATGTTTTTATTTTTGAATTTGAATTTTTCCGTGTTTTCTTTGTTCTTTAAATATTTATTTAATGAAAATAATGCCTTACATCTCATTCTGGTAAAGAATTGCTCATATTTTTGTAATAAATTTAGAACGTATTCTTCCTTGTTTGGAATAGGGATGTTTTTTTGTTTTTTGTTTTTTTGTTGTTGTTTTTTTCAGCGAATGCAGTTTTCTGAATATTTGCATTGTTGGTTCCTCCAAACATTTTGTAAAAATCATCGTTCGTTCGTAAAAAAAATCACTGTGAGTTCGAAAAAAACAAAAAAACAAACAAAAAAAACACATGTAATGGTGAATTAATACACATAAAACATGAGATGTGATCGAATAACCTGCCACCCCCATGAGTGACAGCACTATAGGTGGTACCAACCTATAAGTATCCGTGAGGACAGCGGACAGCAATGTCGAGCTGGGATCTGCGAGAATTAGCGGCCTTCCGCACAAAAGAGTACTAACTTGCGACGACCGTGCGCATAACTAGTTCTTCCTTGCTTGTTGTACTGGTTTCTACAATAAACCTGTTACTATTTATCCACCATGTTTGTCCATTCCATATTCCTATTACCACGGAATGCAACAGGATGTTTAACTGTACAGGTTAAGATGGCTTATGAAAGCGTAACAAAAATACACTGAAAATGAAAGTGCTCAAATTTAATACAGGAGCGAAAGTTACAGACATTCCTATATCAGTTATGCGCAATTGCGTGATACATGCTTAGGCGCTCATGTATCTCTCGATATATGACTGACGAGGCAGATTTTTTTCTTTCCAAGATCTGTCTTGCTATTTACCCATAGCTTAAGAAGAAGAGGATTCATACATTTCCCAAGGGTATTAGCACGTAAGTGAATGTAATTGATTCGATTGGGATTCGAACGGGATTCGAACTCGGCTCTCCGATTCCTTAATCCGAGCCGCTATCCACCGTGCCTAGCGTAATTGAGTTTCATGTACTATACAATCATTATGTATCGATAGCATATGCTTGATTTTTGTTCACTTCATGAC